AGGCCAATGCGAGAGGTAAGAAGGGGGTTGATGGTTGTGGTTGGAGAATCCGACTAGAAAAGGGAGGGAGGGGAAGGAGGGAGGAGGGGTGCAGTATAGAAAAGATAGTAAACCGTCAAGGAGGGTAGCACCATCCGCATAGAGGAGAATAACGTCCATCCCCGAATCCCATGAGCATCTCCCAAGTATTACTATATTTGTCACCTGTTCCGCCTCTGCCAGGGAAGTTCAATGACTCACCCGCGTCAGCCTCTGCTTGACGATTACTCTACTAGTCTGCCATCCTCCTCCTTCTCATTGGGGAGGGTGTGCAGGTTATTCTCATTCACTCGTATAGTGTATCTGCCCGTTATTCGCCTAAAAGCGGGAAAGAGGTGATGAAGATGAAGGGGCGCAATTGAGAACAGGGCACAATTGCTTATCAACACCGTCGGGAGTTGTCCCGACGCTTAGGGAAGGGAAAGTTGTCTTCGATACGAGTGCAAAGTCCACTAAGAATGTATCAGATGCCAGAACCACCCATCATTATCTCCCATCCCCCCTCCCCCTCCCCCTCCTTCTGCTACAAGCATACCGGATCATGTACACATATAGACAGAAAGACTAAATGACCAAGGAGCGTGAGATCTCATGTTTACCTTAGTACGCTTCGAGACCAAGGCCTATGACATCATGATTCATCTGAGCAAGAAATGGTTCATCGCCTGTAAGTAGGAATCCCCTTAGAATTGATAGAGAAACGAGTTTTGGGACAGACGGTGGCATATCGCGGGTATCGAGGGATGGATGAATGATCTAAAGCTCCCATGTGGAAGAAAGGATCTGTGGCTTGATTCAGCAATCCCTCTCCAGCTCTGTTAGCTGCCTGCAAACGGCGAGCACTTTATCATTTCGGAGGATCGCTGGACACTAGCGGGATCGACGAGCTGGAGAAACCATGCCGCATTATCATGATTAGTATTGATCGCATCTTACCTCCATTGCAGGCTGCATTAGACCCGAATAGGGAACATGATTGTCTCGGTACCAGAGCCTCATCCTTCTATAGTGATCACCGATTGTAGCCCTACTGTTTATCAATACGCGGTCATAGGCTACCTGAGCCACGGACCGCTCTGCAGAAGGCGTTGGATTCGAGTAAAACTGCGATGACTTGCTTCCTTGGAAACCCATTGCCTCCATCCATCGCCTGTCCGAGCACGTCGGGGGCTGACACAGAGAGGCGGTCCGTGACACTGTGCAGCCAGCAGCCTGTAGCTTCCCGAGAAAGCGTGCATCTGCCTATGCCATCTGATAGGGTGTGGTGGGATCCTTAGTTCTGCAACTCCCTGCTCACTTGGGCATTTGACATTCTAATGAAGTCTAACGCATGGATCTTTACACTAATTTGGCGCCATTCATGGATGGAATTAATTTTCCCCTTCCCCCCTTCCCACCTTCCCCCCACCCTCTCCTCGTTCTTTATGCAACACCACCACCACCCCGGGTATTCATATGTACCCCCCAAGACCCTCTCAATCATCCGACTTTGCCTTTACAACGGAATTTAAGACAATAGATGGCTCATTTTTGCTGCGATCCTTGCCCTTTAGGATGCTGTTACAATTTGGAATACGGGTGACTCCCTCAGGAATGTGGAGGAGCTCCCAACTATCGATCTTGTGTATACTGTCCGGGCATTCATAGCGAGTGCTAAAAACAGACAACAGTCGATCCGAGATTGGAATGCTGTCAATTTTCTGGGTCGCCAATCAACTTTGGAGATCAAATCAATCAACGGTCCTGCCTGGCCGCAAACAGCCAGCCCAGTAGCTTTGGTGCATCTCAGCTCTTTATCGAGGCCCACCTTGCAGTGCTATCGCAGACCAGACCGGCTGGTATGCCACAGTTCTGCCTAATTCATCAGAGGTATAGCGGACAGATGCGAATTACGTCAATTCCTGTATCAGCTGTTATGCTCTCTCCCTCATGATGGGGTGGAACGCGGTATGTATGTATGTATGGATGTATGGATGGATGTCTGTACGGTACATCACCCCTCCCTCCACGAACGATAAAACAATCGTGCATGCATCTCACTGTGATTTGAGAGATATGATGACCCGGACCAGAGCGCAGTGATGGTGTCCGTCTTGAGATGCGATTGCGTCTGCGACAGCGGTCTTTTGGGAGGGCAGAAAATGAGTCAAGAGCATTGGCTCCCGCAATTCGCGCCCGCCCCGGCCCGTCAAGGTTCGGAGTGCGTGGCCGATATCCACGGTTACTGCAAGGAGTTTGGCTACACAACATACACTCAATCTCAGAATCAGCACCATAGCACACAGGCCAACATGAAACCTGGTTGATCAAAAAGCGTCCTTTACTAGTCGTCACGGCGAGTACTGATACAGGCAACTAATGACTAGCCGCTGGCTGAAACCTGCAGGTGACAGCGCGCTATTTTGTACTCGGGTTGAGTGATCGTTATAGCCGATGATGTGCGATACAGCCGGGAAAGAGGATCGTCGCATCTGCCTAGCAGATGGTGGCAACGAAGCTGGGATAGCAGGCAGCTTCTGTGACTCAAACTCAAACTCAAACTCACCCTAGTTCACAAGCTGGATTTGAGTCTTCAACCTCAGAGTAGCCACATGGCTTGATGATTTCGATGATTGCTATCAACGAACAGTGATAGGTGGGTACGACTGAAGTATCTTGTCCCTGTTAGCTACAATGCTCTAGCTCTCCGACTGGGAAGCGGAGGCTACCATCTATGTGTGTGTACGGGGTGCCCTGCTGAAGCTGCCTTATGCAACCCAACAGTTGACTTCAACATGGACAATCGGCTCTTTTCCGGTAAAATAGGCACAGACCCAATGGCTGGTAGGCTGCTGCAATCAACGGAAGCTCCACCCGAGATCGACTGGACTACTACGTTGATCGTCTGTGACCTTGAGTATGATCGATTCGACAGTTGAGCAGAAGTTGGCAATGCGGCTAATGGCTCCGATCAAGTTCTGCCTTGGATCGAGGAACTTACTACTCGGCTGGTGGCTGATACTTATGCAAGGTAAGGTAGACGATAGGGTATAGTACCATTTACCGCAACAAGTAGATGACCCTGTGGTTATGCGCATCGTAGTCAGTTCCAGCCTTTATAATGTATGAAGGACGTTAACAATCTTTTCCTTGGGGGCCGCCGTGTTTGGTACTACTACTGTAGGTGGTATTAATGCAGTACTACTGTATTCAATACAGTATACTCGTAGTGAGTACTCAGTACCTGGTAGAAAGCAGCGCAAGAGGTCAGCGGGAACAGCGCCAGACGGCCACCGCGCGCCGCGGGGGATCAACTCATCCCCATGTAGTGGGCGGTGTGGCCCGCCGCCCGCCGCTGCTCCAGTCTCAGAGCTTGGGGGCTTGAGATTTAGTGGGTGACCAATTGAATGTATCCAAACCGGGCGGCAATAGTCAAGTCTCAGTCCGTGATTGGCCAGTTAGAGCTCAGCTGGATCCCACCAGCGAATTTTGGGTTGAGTCGAGTCACCGCCTGACAGTACTGCCCCCTGCGCGGTTTTCTGATTGGCAGGCGGGGCTATCGGGGCTAACCACCGCAGCCCGTTACCTGAAGTCCAAACACTCAAACTGGGAACTGCTGCCTCCATTCCACACTTCATTCACTGCGATCGTGGATGATAACAGGCGAGTTTCCTCAAGTTTTGAACAACCCAGACAGTATCAGATCGAACTCAATACCTTACCAACAATAATAACAGCAGCGGCAGCAAAAGCAACAACTTGAAGAAGTAAGTCTTCCCTGTTATGACCTTATCCCCAAAATAGCAACTAGCCAGCTGCTCATCCACACACACCTCCATCACCACCACCACTGCACACCATTACCACTACTAACTACTACCACTAACTACTATCACTACCTCCTCACCCTCACACACACTCTTACCATCCCCTCCCCTCCTCTTCTCTCCCCTCCCTTCCCCTCCCCTTTCCTTTCCTTTCCTTCCCCCCTCCCACCCACACCCACCCCCTCTTCTTTTGTCGGTCAACCTCCTCTTTCACACCTCTCCTAAGTCATCCGACGACTGGCTAATCTTGCGACCTCTATAGAGTCGATCTCTGTTGGTCTCAACAGAAATAGGGTGGCCCTAGCGTTACCTTCATTCACCACCATCTATTCCCCCCCCCCCTGGCATCGTCATCGCCCTCATCATCTTGCAACTCCTTTCCCCCCCTCCCACCTCCCCCTTTCCCTGTCATTCTCCGGTCTGCGCAGCTCTCCACTTTTCTATACTAGCTTTCATCCCGACCTTCACATTCCTTGCGCTGAGATTGGAGGTTAATCGCCATTCCGGATCGGTGGAAAGGGCTTGGGCCATACAAGTGTTACATCAGCTTCCTCGGAGATATCGTACTGTTTCAGTCCACTCGACTGTCGGGCTGTAGAACCACGCTTCTACGGTTTTCAGCTATAGAGCCGGCTGCTTCAGACAGATAGCTCGCCCCCCTTTCCTCCCCTTCAATCTTCCACAGTACCCTATACATACCGATCTGGAAGGAGTCACAGGCTTATCAGCTTCACTTTGCTCGACGTGCGACTAAGCCACTTTGACCCGAGTAGCGGACACTAGGTTTGCCCCGTGCCCAAGCTCCTCGGGAGGCTAGTCCGGTTGCGCGACAGTCATCTGGCCCGCTCAGGTCTCATCCTATCACTGCCGCACTCGTTTTTCTTGCGTGCAGCTGCTGTGTCTTGCCCCCCTCCTCCAGTGATATTCGCAGATCATCTGCACGCGCATATTGGTTTCCGTCCTGCATAGTCCCTGCAGAGGTCTCCTCGCCTTGACATTGCAATATTGCGCTCCCAGTGGTCTGCCCCGTCTTTTACGCTCCCGCAATAGTAGCAGTATCGGCATTCGAGCTTGCCTCTTCCTTTCCGTTGTCGCAGCCCACCTTCCCTTCCACCTAGGCCAATTCACAGCTTAGTGGCGAAGCAAATCGTGACCATGGCCACGACTTCCTTCCGGGATTCCGTGAACTCATTGGGATGGTCTCGGAGAGATCCAGATCTACCGGCGCGTACCAACTCGTCAAATGCTCCTTTCCTATCACGGTTGCAATCTTGGAATCCATTTGGGCAAGGGGAGGGCTATCTGCAGCTGCCCACTCATGAAGCTCCAGGAGCTCCTCTGCCAGCCCCGACGCGACGGGAAGAAGAAGATAGTTTCTTTGCTTGTGAGTAGTCCTCCTAGCGCATGATCCGATTATTCCGACTTACTGCCCGTTTCCTTGATTTCCCGCACTGGCTGGTCCAGGTGACAGAGACTCAGTTCCTGCATCGCATCGGAGTTTCACCCAGGCTCTAGTAACGGGCGATACTAATGTCTTCTATTTGGATGTTCCATTCTGTTATATCCCCGTCATTTGAGTTTCGGCCAGGGCTAATCATGCATCCCGTTCTAGTAAGCCGATGGGACCGGATGCTCATTTTCATTGCGTGCAACCTGGGTGCTGCCGTCTGCTTCCTTATTTGCTTTTTCCTCTTTCCAGTCCTGTCGCTCAAACCCCGCAAATTTGCTATCTTGTAAGTTGCTTGTCCCTAATCCCGAATGATCTTCTGGAACCGCGACACATCTGGAGAATTTGAGGTGGTGGTGTGCTCTTCCTGCCCTTGGTGGAGAGCATGCACGACCAAGCCACATTCCAGCTTCCGTGCTACACTCTCTTGCAACTCAATACTTCATGCGCCAAAGGCCGGTGCGAATGAGAAACTGTGGCTAACCCAACCGGTTTCTGCTTGGAAATTAGATGGTCCGTCGGTTCTTTGCTATTCTTACTATCATGGGCGGTCCTCATGGGACCTATGGTCTATGCCAGACATTTGGTCTCGGGATCACGACTGCCATTCACGGCCGCCTATTTCGGTTCGATCGCCATGACCCTCTACTTTGCTATTGGGGTAAGTTTCCATACCTCTAAGCTTCGACTGTGGTGCCAAGATTCATCCCTGTTGCTCCCGTGTCGAGTATGCCTGCGCTATCAGCGCCAGCTGCTCAGCGATCTCAGTAGCTACTGCTGGGGGATCTTGCATGTCGCCTGGGGTTCACAGTGCATGATGCTCGAGGTCTCTTCCAACAAGGATTCATGACATCATGATGCGTTGAATTGCCGGGGCGTTCAAAGTGATATTCTACTGCACACCTCCAGCAGCGCTGCTTTCTCTTTGGGAATGCACGTGCACCTGCACGTGCAGGTGCAAAGACTCCAGATTGGGATGAGAATAACGGCTAACATGCTTTCACTGTCCCACAGCTTCATTCCACCTTGTTGACCCTGATCTCGTCGATCTTCCAGCTCGCCGCTCTGCTTTGGTATCTTGTCAGCTACTTCCCAATGGGTAGCACTGGTTTGCAATTCATGGGACGATTTGGCGCGCAGCGTGTCACGGCATGGATGACCAGCTGATGACCTTTGCCTCTTTCTGTATAGAGTAACGACGCGACGTTTCTCTTTTTGTGGTCTGCTATAAACACCTTATTGTATAATACCGCATCTTGGCACGAACATGAGCATGATGGGAGCATGGTTGCTCGACAAAAGGTGGAGTTTGCTGCTTGGTTCCTGGTGTTTCAATATCACGACTTCTAACCTCCTACCTTACCTACTTTCAACCGAACTACAATGTCTCGTATGACCAATCAATCCAACCTGTTAGATGACACAACAGTGAACTTCGAACCCAGCTCGTTCTCTGGATCTCTTTCTTATCTGTCAATCCATCTTCTCTTACCGCATCTTCTCCAGTTCCCTTCTTCTCCATCCTGCATGATTTCTCAGCAGATAGTACGACCCTTGTCCCTCCCCCGGCTGCTCTACCCTCCCATCCTCTCTTCCTTCTCCTCTATCCCTATCCAGACCCAACAAGGTCTTCCACCCCATACCCCACAGGGAGGGAGGGAAATCTGAAACCTCAAATTCTAAATCAAGTAACAGTCTCAACCGCACAAGTCATACAAGGATATTGCATGCATGTATGCGGTGCGTGTACGTGTGCGTGTACTGTACCTGTACGCGTGTGTATGTGTTTCCCTTTCCCTCCTCCTAAAAATCCCCGGCGCCTCGTTTGTCCAACCATCTTCCTATCTTTCTTTTCTTTCCTTTGGTTTTCGTGGCTGCCGCGACGCCTCCAACCATGTGTGAGTCGCTGTTCTACCCTGCCTTGTCCTGTCCAGTCCTGCCTGCCCTGTCCTCTTCACCAGAAACCTTGTCTCGCTAGGTTGGCGGCGACTTTGTGTTTAAAGTCTAGAATAAGAAGGAGATTTCTGGATGAATATTCATGTTACGCGAGATCGGGCTAGGTGATATGTGCATGTTTCTGGGGGGGGGCGCGATATCTGGCTTTGGGGATTGGGTTGGCGAGGGCGTGGGCGTGGGGTCTGGGTTTTCCTGGGAAGGGAAGGTAATTACTTAGTAGCTTGGAGAGGTGAGAGGAGAGGAAAAAGAAAGTTGCTCGTCTGCGCTGATGGGCTGGTAGGGGCAAGGGGAGAAGGTGTGGTTTGGTCTTGAGGTGTACTTAAAAGCTCGGGAAAGATTTCCAGGTGGATTGTTCGGTTTTCTTTTTGGGTCAATCAAGAGGATGGGGAGGTATATGTACAGTACATGGTCTGTGTACAGTCTATACTTGTGTGGCCTGGACTTTCGGTAGAGGTACCTCAGAGCAGATAGAGTTACGCCTAAGAGATAGAGATGCTCAGGATACATGCTGTGGAGAGTGAGGTACCGTTCCTTTGAGGTTTGGTCTGCTCAATTTTCTTTGGGATTAATGCAATGCATTACAGCATCTCATGGTCTTCTGGATAGCTGATACTATGGGGTATGCTCAGGACATGGTATGCTTAGGATAGATAAGCCGAGACATCTAGATCTGCGCTCTAATCACTGCAATACATCTACTAGCATTTTCGCTTTCATCGGCGCGCTACCATCCCGGGCGTTTCTCTTCCCCTCTTTGGACTGGAATGGCAAGTCGAGAATCTCCATGTATCTCTTCAGGCCTCGATGTACTAGCCCATGTCGACCAGCAATGCCACGCCTTTGAATTCCCCTACTTCCCCCGGCTCATCACCATCCCTACCGAGCCATGAACGACCTTGACGCCTGGAATCTCCGCTTCCCAAATGCCGGTCTCGCCGCCAGAGCCATCTTCATGCCACCGCTTGAGCAGGTCGTTGCTCTCCACCGGCTTGACCTCCTGGGAGACAGTGCCGACAGTGATGTGGGGGGTCTCGTTGGCGCACGGCCAGTCGCCCTGGCTCCCGTCTTCCGGGGGCAGGATGCGCGCGACGAAGGCCATGAGGCGGTTGTCCCAGATGAGACGCTCAAGACGCACGCGGGCCGGAGCGAGGATGGGGGTGATGGAGGGATCGGATTCGGGCTTGCTCTTCATCTTCTCGACGTAGTGGCGGGTGTACCCATCCCAGATGTCGGGGCTGTCTCTCTTCGAGGCACGATGGATCAACGTGACGTGGAAGGCAGGCTGGATGCGGCGCGATCTCGCGAGCTGATGGTAGATGCGGGCTCGCTCGGGGTCGGTGGAAGGCGGGAATAGCGACTGCAGGACGTTCGTGATCTCGGCTGCCGGCAGGCTGATGCAGAAGTACTCGAGCTTCTTGGCCAGATCCTCGGCAGTCGGAGCGACCGTGTTATCGGGGGTACTGGTGCTTGTTTTGTTGTTACTCTTGTTCTTTTGTTTCTGGACCTGTTTGGCTGAGCTATAACCCTGGCTGAGGTCGAGCTCTACCTGATAGTCGTTCATCGCCCAGTTGATGGCGTCGTCGAGCTGCTGTGCGGTGGGAACCTCCTTCACCAGTTTAGGGTAGGACGAGTGTAGGGCTTTCACGACTGTCTCGAGGTTCTCCCGCGAAGAAGCTGCGACATCCAGATCAATAACCTCGTCGAAGTCGGAATCTGGGATACGGTCTGTATTGACGCCCTCGAAGCGAGTAAGGAATCCTTCCATGATCCCGATAATCTCTTCTGTGTTCTTGGTGCCTGCGCGGATCGTCTGGTGGTTGTCGCCACGAGTTAGTACCCGCTGTCTCGTAACCTCCCGAATACCAGGAAGCAACTCCTGCTTGGGGTCGTGGACGTAGTGAAGAGCCACGAATCGAGCCCTAGGAACCCCGGCGGAAACATCCTGTATGAGCTGCTCGCGTTCGCGCTTCTGGTGATTGTTCCGGTCCGCAACCACCACGGGATGGATGGCAAGCAGTTTGTTTATATCCATGGCGAACTTCTTTGGTTTGTTCTTCTGCTTGGGGATATTGTCGTTCTGCACTTGGCCCCAGTTGAACAATTTGACCAGGGCAAGACCCACGGTGGTCTTTCCGCACCCCAAGGAAGCTACAGGGACCAAGACAACATCTCTTACGACTTCCTCCTTTGAGTCTTCGGCTTCCATTTGGATGATTTCCGAACCGTTCAGCCCGTGCTCCTGAAGAAAGCCTTCTCGCATAGCAATGATCCCGTGATTCTTGTTATACTGCTCTCCTAAGTGCGGGTTCTGTGCAAGCTGTCTGCGAGCATACTGCAGATACAGTTCCGTGATCTTCTTGTGCTTCTTGATATTGGGATATTTGCCGGCAATGATCGCTTTGGTGCACTCGCGCCACTGTCTGTACATCAAGTAAGGTTCTTCGAACTTGTACTTGAAAAACCAATCATGGTAGGGAGGACGGCCACCTTCACCCATCTGGCAGCGAATCACAAACCCTTCGGTCTCGCGACCATCCCATGTTCCGGTCTCTGCACACTCCTCCAGGAACTTCTTCACCTGGTCGAGGTCCTCGTACACAACGAAGTTAGCCTTTTTGAAGCCCCACGAGTCGGCGAAGGCGTGGACTTCTGCGCTGGAGCACGTAGCGAACTTCGGAACGTTGAAGTTGAGACCGTGTAAGTAGATTCCTGAGACCGTCTCGTCGTATGCAAGGACATGCTCTTCGAAGGTGTCGTCACAGAGCTCGCCTACTGCCGTCACATTGAGTCTGCGCAATTCTCGCGCCAAGTCCTTGACAGATTTTCCGACGGATTTCACATGCCTCTCAACCCACCGTTCACCGGCCTGGGCGTGGCTCACTTCCGCATCATTTCGAACCCCCGTCGAGTGCTTGCTGCAGACCAGAAGAGTTCCGTCTTCGAGCCCAGAGATGAAGATAATGCACCCATTCTCTTTCACGCTAAGCTCGTACGGCCCTCGTGTGTTCATTTCAATGTTCCTCCACTTTGTCGCGTTGACCTCCTCGATGTTGAAGAATTTATCATATCCCCGGACCGCGATTTCATGTGTCCCGTCCTTCCTTTGGGTGGTGAAAAGACCTCGAGCGTAGGTGGGAAGATCGTGACGTCGGTAATCCCAGTCCATGAACTTCCAAGAGTTCACTCTGATGCCGTCGGTCTTGTCCACATCGAACGTCGACTTCTTGCAGGTGAAGGTCCTCTTGCTCTCAGCTTTGCCTCTCTTTCTCGCCTCTTCCAGGCTCTCCACAAGCTGAGCTACTTCCTGCTCGTCCTGCCGGACCGGTGTGATGTTCTCGTAGGGCATGGTCGTAAATCGGTGCTTCGTGGTAACTTGGGCCGCGGGTGTAAGGCACCAGGGGTGCTGAAGGCGCGCGTGAAGGAGCTCAGGCCGACGGCTTCGAAGGAAGGGAGGGGCAGCTGACTTGTGTCGCCTGGGCCAGGAAGCAATTGCTCTTGAAATTAATCTCGCTGGCCTCATCAAACAGAGGGATTTTATCGGAGGTGCAGTGCTCAGCGAATCATCACAAGCAGACAGTGACGAGGGTCAGCCTTGTCGGAAATTGGAGTTGCTTATCGGCTTTGTTCGTATGCGGGGCAGAGCTACTCCACCGGTGTACAGTACCTTTTTTTACTGCACCATCCATCCGCTTACCCGATTCGGTTGCCGCCGCTTTTGTCAAGGCGATCCTGGAGTCTATGGTGGGATGGATAGTTCTTCCTTTCCCTCACCACCTGTTCTCCTTTTGATGTTATCACCTTCAAGCAAGGCATTCAGTTAATTTCAGCGGAAATCAAGAGTTCCTGATCATCCTTCATCAAGACGAATGAAAAGCTGTTCAGTACCAACGTCAAAATGGCTAAGAACCTTGATTCCTGGCAGCGTAACATGGTATTTCACATGACACGCAGCAAGAAAGTGCTGAGAACATCACAAATAGAAAGAAAAGATTGTTCGACAACGCAAGATCCTCCCTCCCCCCAGTCCATGTCGGCCAGCCGGGGAGCATAACTCATGTGATGCTCGATACTCTCCCTTATCACCTAACCGAAAGACCCACCCTATACTTTGATGAGATGGCCGTGGACCTATGGGATGAATTTGGTGTGCTGCCTTCGCATCCAGTATCAAACGTGCCCTTGCCAGTGCCGATTGGACGAGGGAAAAAGCCCAGCAAAAGCGAAGGACCAGAATCCTGAATTACGGGATTTTTACCAGCATAAAACTGTCTCAGTTCCGTTCCTACCATGTGATTTTCGTTGACGAATCGGGTGTGATAGGCGTGTGGGATCTCGACGGAGCGGTTGGTCTCCTCCGGGGGCGACACCAGTTCAAGTATCCTAGTTCCGTTGGGGGGTACGCTGCCAGATACTACAGGCATCTACGCAAGACGGTGTCTTAATTGATGCTATGTTATTCGAATCCTTTACCAATGCAGCATTGTGGGAGATGACCAGACTCGAAATCAATACGTAGTATGGACAATGCGTCATTCCGTCGTTCCGACCAAGTCAAGCAGTTGTGCGCCGATGCTGGGTTCAGGCCCTTCTACCTGCCGCCATATTCACCGGACTTCATTCCTATCGAAGAGTTCTTTGCCGGACTGAAGTGTTTTATAAAGAAAGCTTGGCCAACGTCCAGAACGAGTTTCAAGGGGAGGATTTCATGTTCTTCTTCTTCCACGATGCCTTCACGGAGTTTTCGCAAGGAGAGTGCTGAAGGCCATTTTCGACATATGGGTTTAACAGTGGAAAGACAGCCATGAATTGCACTTTATCAAATTCATGTATGCATGTGATATTTTACCGTGCTAAACCATTTTTCGGGGGGCCTCACTCAATAAAAACGCGTGTTTGGGGGTAGGCCCTGTAAATTTTCTGGATATTGTGGCAGTTAGTATCTGGTCTTATTGCAAGGAGATAAACACGAACCATTAGCTTCCAGAAACTCTCGACAAGCTCGACTTCATACTCACAGTATGCTTTCTCAAGAATGTCCATATCTTGAAATGTCATGGCAACATCAAAATCAATCCATACGATTCTACTGCCGGACACAACAAGCAAATTCTTTGGATAGATGTCGTGGTGAGGGATGAGTGCTTTGTGAATCTGTTTGATCCCATCAACCGCATAGCGAAACAGATCATCAGAATAATTCACGCAATTGAGCCTTTCGGCTGCCGGTAAGTACTCGAGTATAATCGCCCTCGGTAGAAATTCATCCTTCTTGAAGTAATTCAGCTGTTGGTTGAAATCGGACGGATCGATGCGATCAATGAAGCCGTGAAAGAACGGAACAAAACCAACTGTCACACACGCCGAATTTGAGAAGATAACGATACGCATTCGGCTCGCAACGGAACCGATTCAGGTCTCGACCTCTTCTGCTATACCCTGGATCACCATTATCATGGAACTGATGTGTCAGTGTTGTCCTAGAATGGCAAAGAACCTTGACTGACCAGCTTCATAAAGCCTGTCTTCCCGCAAACTCGTACTTCGAGTACAGTCGAAGCTTCCGATCGGCTGATCTCGCGCTGAATGACAATATCGTGGGGATCCAGATCAAGCAAGCAATCGCCCTGCGGTCCCATGGCTGTTATATGTGCCACATGGGATCAGGGTTTGTGGGTAAACTGAGTTCGGTTTCGGGCAGGATAGCTGGCACCAAGAACGCGCCTCTTCTAAGTTACATAAAACTTCTAGACACATGTGATAATGCTGATTTAAACACTTCAAGCACCCCGCATTCCGGAACCTCAACCATGGTATGACCCACCCTTACGGAGTACTTCGACGGCTTTGCGTTTCCATGGCATTAGACTAACTGAAAATGAATACTCAAATCACTTCTGCACTATCTCTCCATTGCTCTCCCAATCATACCAAAACAAGGGACCAGTCCTGGACCCAACACCACAAATCCCAAGCATGATGCAGACGACATTACTCAAATCGCCCCGTGGCCGGAATTCGGCTACCCAGTTATCATTCAATGATACGGAGAACTATTGAATTCCACACGGATTCGTCCTGGCCCAGTTACCTCACCCCCTACCCCACTGAGAGATGAACACACATTTCATCTTCGTTTCTCGGATCTCGTTATGAGCCGGTTGAGACGCGGCCTTCGAGCTGGATTTGACCAACTCGCGCCGAAGCTCCAAATACGGCAGCTTTCTGTCATAACAATTGACGGGGGAGGATCTGCACGGATCATCAATCAGTTCCGGCCGGACGCAGCGTTTATTGTCGTTGGTGCAAGTCTCACCACAGGCGCCAATCGAGCGCCTGGGGACTGGAAGGTCTCCTGGAAGTGGAGATCTTCAATGGTTTCTCACAAGACCTGCCGGATCAGCGAGAATATAGGCAGGTTTTGGCTCAAGTGAATTTCTATATGGAACAGCACAACACCCGGCGCGGGTTTCTCCTCTCGGACGACGAGCTTGTCGCAATGAATAGACTGGATGACAATAGTCGTTTAGCCGTCGCTACATCCATTCCATGGTCAAGTGGAGGTGTTGGGAGGCTTTCAGTCTTGCTAGGACTGTGGTACCTTGGCATGCTAGCGGCCGAGAACAATAGTTGGTCTCTGCACTAGGCTTATATTTCTTTTCGTGCACAGAGTTTCCTAATCCGCTCTGATAGCTATCTATGTAGCTATTCAAAGATCACTTGAAGCGTGCAGCACGATTCATCACTCTAACAACCACAGGAATTTCCAGAAAACACGGTTTTCGGACATCGGTGTCATCACTTATACTCTTTGATTGTTTCAGCAATCCTGATATGAGGCCAGACTAAGCCAAGATTGGTATGTAAGCGAAATATATTCGACCGATATAGGTATAATAAATCGCAGTCTGCTACACGAGTAAGATTCTGCAAACAAAGAATATTCTCCAAGGTCCTGCATGCCATCAAAGTTCTAGACTGACATTTCTCAGACCTCCAGTTCAACTCGTGCTGCAGCACTGTAATTGATGCCTCTCTTTTCAACAACGGTATTCAGAATGATTTGCTAAATGCCAGCTCAGGTTGTGACTGAGTTAGACAGACCAAAGGTTACGTTTTCGATTTTCAGCCACAATATCTTGGTGATGATGTTAGGGCTATCTGGGCATTGGGTGTAGTGTATCATCCGAGCTTTGTATAGTTCATTTATAACGGTTACTCAGAGGAGTCAGAATCTAGTACTCCTATCTGAGTTGTAGCCCGCGTCGGCTGTGGTTTCTTTTGCAAGCCGATTAACGACAGCTTTGTGGCTGTCGACCTTTACTCATGAATTTTTTTATCTTGAGCTTGTTCATTAAATTTGTATTGCGCAGTGAGAAAAACACATTATCCTTTCTCTTCATGATTTTTCGAACGAAAGCTGCAGAAAACCTCCCAAGCTTTACCGCCGTGACGATGAATGGTATTCAACAGTCTCTAAGTATCCGACTAATGTCGCACGCTACTTGATCCTTAATCAGAATATGAATATATTTGAATAGTAGAATATTTCTTGCCTTGCCAAAGCTCTTCCACAACGCGAGCCTATGATTCCAAGCTTTGAATTTATCTTTCGCACACTCTGCGAGAGAAGCAATATTGTGTTTATCAACAACTATATACACCTTTATGTCCAGCAGAGTATGATTTTGTTTTGAAAGGGTCTTTAAAGGTTGGTATTGTGTCTGTGTAGCTTTGTCTATATAGAGTTGGACCATCATCATATTGATTGCCTTGGGGTTGTCGTCAGGTAGACTGATTCTTCCGGTCACAACTTTCTGAATATTATCAGCTATTATCAATATAGCTCTCTATGTTCTTCTTACAAGGAAGTCTGGGCGTTATGTTGCGACCAGGACGTCAGACCGAGCACTTATAATCGCCCGATGTACTCAATGATTATGATTGACATAAGAGATAATTATATCCGAATACTTACTTGAAGCTATGACTTGTTATAAGAGTGAGCGATACAATCCACACGGCCATTTCCTCAATTCCCAGGTGCCTAGGGCAATCCAGTATTCTTTTTCCGAACCTGAATGCTGCAACACTGAGGCAAACCCCGACACTGGGATGTAAGCAGGACTTGGTATCCGAGCCTGTGTAGGGTTACTGAAGACATTAACTGTCCGGATTTTGAGTATGCTCTTTTTTTCCCGCTCGCCGCCACCTCCGACCGACCCCTCCTCTTGCGTTAGTCTAACTGATTCAAAATCTCCCCACCCCCAGTTACAACTTTCCCTACCTCAATCTATTCACCTAGTGACTCAAGGTTTGTTTATTCTCACTGAAATAACCAAATCTGACCTCACTGACTCAAACGATAATTGTCTAGCCGCCACGATGAGTCAACCCAACCCCTACATTCTGGCGGCTGAAAACCCCTCCGCTCTTCTAACGCTTTTGCGCTCGAATCCATCCATCGCGTCCGGTCAAGATGAGCACGGCTACTCACTACTTCATGCTGCCGCCTCCTACGGTCACATCGATCTTCTGCGCGCCCTGGTGAAAGAGTTCAACGTGGACGTCAATCTTCTTGACGAAGATGGCGAGACGTGTCTGTTCGTGACGGAGAGCGTCGAGATCGCAAAGTGCCTGGTTGAGGAACTCGGTGTCGACTACAACAAGAGGAACGATGAGGGCTTGGCTGCGTATGAGACTATTGAGAACGATGACTCGTTCCCTGAAGTTGCAGCTTATCTGCGGCAAGTCGCAGGTGTCCCAGCCCCCGCCCCTGCAGATTCTTCGGCGGATGCCGCCTTGAATCAACCTCCTCCTCTGCCTGCGAACCTGCAGCTGAACCTGGGCACGGTGTCGGAGCAAGAGGCCAACGCGGGAATCGAGCAGGTGGACCCCGAGTTCAAACGTCGGATTGATGAGCTGGCCGCGCGGGAAGACTTCCACAGTGAAGCCACGCAGGCCCAGTTGCGGGAGCTGGTTATGGATGCAATCCGAGGCTCTAGTATCGAGACTGACGAGCGGGGTGTGCGTCGGAGAACGGATTGAGAAGCTGCGGGCTTCACTTCAAGGACCATTTTGGCTTGCCAAACAACTTCCGCTTCTCTCATCTGAGTCGTCATGGGCGCGTTGGTCTGTTTTGGCCAGCCTGCGAGGCATCTAGCGATCTCGAACTACCATTGAGTCTCAACCATTCTCGCCGCTCCAAAGGGTAACAGCGCAGCGCTATCTCGAGCATTTCAACTTGGACGTATATCTACTCCAAGTCTTGAAAGGGACAGCCAATTTGCGTCAACCACAAGGTTCCGCTCGGGCTTTGATGAGATGCGCTTATATCGGGCAACCATATCTTGTTGAGTTCTGGCAGCTACGAAGACTATATACTACATGCACATTGAAAAATGCTGTGTCTCAACTAGCAAAATTAATGCAAACTCTCTACATGCACTCTTTGTAAAGACTCTCTTCCCCATCGGCAAGTGATCAACAAGGGCTCTTTCCTAAATCGCCACGATGGTTGAATCTCCAGTGGCATATGACTTAGACTGGAGATATGTCATCTCACGTGATCTGGTGCCTTTTTCCCCGCATCGCCCGCACGCGGACTCGTACCTCCTGTTACTCCAACCATCCAATTACCTGCCTTTGCTTGTTCAGGTGCATCCCTCGTTCAACCCTGGCTCTCCGGCCAAAGTACTGTTTTCTTCCTATCCAGTTCCGCTTTACGTTGAAAGCCCCTTGTCACCATGAACCCGGCACTTGGTTCCGACACGCCTCCTCCCCCGCCTCCGAAGCCCAGCAGCCACGAGGCCAGTCGAAGAGGCACACCCCAACTCAACTCACCTTTGCCCGGCACCCCGCAGCAGCTACACAGAGCCTATAATCAACAGGAAAGAATGGACATGTATTCAGGGAACAGATATTCCTCACCAGGGGTTCCTCCGAGCTCCCAGAATGTGCTGCCCCAACCACCTCCTGTCGAAGAAGGTTGGCTACCGAGTAGTGTCAAGGACAAGAGGTATAATCTTACTCAATACCAATCTTACGCTGTCTCAAGAACCTCCCTCTGACTATGATCTTCTCCGCAGCACTGTGGATTTGCAAACCGTTCTCAAAGACCCGAACCTCATCTCCGCGCTGTCGAGCCAGCATCCATCCTACACGGCGCATCAGCAGCATCTGGAATCCCTCCTGAAATATAACAAAGACCTGGCAAACCGTCTTCTCGAGCTTCAGTCGCAGATGTCGGAGCTACGGTCCTCGACGGAGACCCTTCTCCTGACCCATCAGTCGCTCGAGGTTTCCTGGCGGAAGAAGCAATCCGAGATGGATGCTGCCCTGGCCCCGTGGTCGCCCAAGGCGCTGTACCAGAGGCTGGCGGCTTCGATATCGGAGCAGGAGGCTGTTTGTCGAGCGGTGGAGGAAAGTTTCCTCGAGGGGGAACACCATGGCCGGGCGTCGGAGAAGGAGGTCGCGGACTGGGTTCGACGGGTCAGGGCGGAGTCGGCCAAGTTGGCCGCGAGAAGGGAGGCGAAAGCTAGGTGGGATGAGGGACGGGTAGGAGGATGGAGGTGATGGAAGCAGCCCGCTCAATTCGAGGGTTTCACTACGCTGGGTTATTATTGTGCCCCTAATGGCCCCGGGACGGAATTGCGTTTCCTAGACATCGCTAAGCGTACGGGAAAAAAGCATGAGGGCGACGAGAAGACAACCCCACGGCCTACAGCAATCTTCCAAATGACTCCTGCACTGTCACATTTTTCCACTGGCCTAATACCCACTGCTATCTGGTCAAGATGTAGGGAATCTATTCCCTTGCTGCTTTACGGCCACTCTCGAGGTCAACATCCTGATTCCTGGGCTCTGCTCTCACTGGCGGTGGTGCATATTTCGCGGTTGCCCAGTTATCCGCGCCGACATGGCTCGGCAGTCCCACGCTTCGGAAGAAAGCATGGCTACTGTCCCTCGCCCCCCAAGACCAGCCTGCACCGCGCATCACGGGAAGCTGGTAAAGTCGAAAACCGATCCACGCGAAGACGATTCCCATGACTGATCCAAAGATGATATCGAATCCATGGTGGCGATAGTCGAACCACCGCGAAGCAGCTATGAAGAACGCCACCGCTATGGGCACGAATATGATTATGAGCAGGTAAACCGGCGGGGCTGCTCCCTGCTTTCGAATGGTGCTACGCTCCTGTCTCTGTAATTCCTGGCTAAGCGGTGAATGGGCGAGATAGGGAAATCCGATGGACAGTTTGGCACAGAGCCATAGAGTGAGATACGTCAATCCGCCAAATGCGACTGTTAATTAGGCATCAGCGTTGTCGCTTCCTCGCGCTTTCCTTGGGTTTCCCTGGGAACGGATCACTTACAAGAAGAATGCCCACTGGGGAAACTCGAAAAGCCATCAACAGCCAACTCTCGCGCTTGATTTCGACAGATCTCCCACGTGACCAGTGTCGGGGCTCCATCGAGCCTGGATCCCAGGCCGCTGACAGCGAAGGTGTTGATCCTTGAGAGATCCGGATCGCATCGCGCGAGCATATCCGGTCGGGGTTTCCCAAACAGATCCTTCAGCCCCTCGGTCGCCATATAGGCTCCCGCGAGCGCTATACCCAGACCCAGCCATCCAGCATTCCACTCCCATAACTTGTACCGCCACAAGTTTGCGCGCGCCACTATCGTCGTCTCATGGTTTGTCATCGCCGGGCCCAAGGGGATGAGCACCAGCGCCCCGAGGACGATGATTACGGCCGGGACAATCAAGGCGACCACCGCCACCACACTGACCGATACGGTATCATGGTCTCTGTGGGGGAAGGAGATGCTTGGATCCGTGAGGGAAAATGGCCTCTGATTGGGAGAGACGCGACCGAATCCAAAGCCTATAAGTGCGATACCACTGCAGGGATAGAACACCATGAGTACTGTACACACACACCAACGTAACAGGATCTATACGAGCTTTCTTGGGGGTCTAATTCGCAAAAACGCACATGATAAGTATCCAGTCAAGGACATACGAGACGACCAGTCTCTTGGAAAAGCGCACATGCGCTACCCCGAGGCCGCCGCCTGCTCCCATCGCCGCTGTAGATGGTTGTTGTTCGTTCTGGTTGGAGTTGCGCGCCATGGCCGGATGGGTGATGATGTCATTCACCAAAGTTGACGGGATAGGGAACCTTGAAGTATAGTGTACAATACAGTACAAAGTAGCAAGCTTGAGGTCGTTATTTACTGGTCAGGAAAGTCTCGAGTTTAATCCTCAAAGAAAAAGAAAGTCTGAGCAAGAGAGCGAGCTGGCAGATTCTTCTGACCTCCCAATTTCTTTTTGACCTCGTATGCGAGGGTGTGTTGGAGCTCACCTGTGGAACTGCAGCAACGAACCTGTAGGTTGTTGGAACTACGGGCAGGGCCTGGACCCGACCTAAGTTATTGGCCAGGTGACCCAGACCACCACTGCACCTCCCAAGGCACGCAGGCAATGCCAATTAAGGTACGGTACGACCTTCCAGCCGAGTAGCCGTGCGTGTGCACGCCCTTCGCTCATCTCATGATCTGCACTGTAACTCCATCATGCAGATCTCAAGAGAAAAGAGGGGCATGATCGACGTCAGGGATGGGAAACAAAGACAATCTCCGTCACCTCGTGTTATAACTTATTTCCTGTTCAATCAATTGAGGAGGCATACACTCTTGAATTCAATTTTTGACATATCATTTCATTGACTCATATCCATAACATTAGATTACGTAGCATGCGCCCATCTTTGTTTTGGGTCAGGGCGTGATGTTGTCACATGCGTTCAATTGAACGCTCGTGGAATTTCGGAGGGGGGGAAAGGCAAAGGGGAAGAAAATTTATTTCTTGCCATCCAAGTCGGTGAAGAAATCTTTCCCGAAGTCGGCGCTGCTGTCGTTGAAGCGGAGCTTGCGGTCGATGCCTCTGATCTTCTGCATGTCTTCGTCGCTCAGCTTGAAGTCACCCTCCAGGTTCGCCTGGATTCGGGATGGGGTCTTGGACTTGGGGAGGACGGAGTGACCCTGTGTGATACCCCAGGCTATGTTCAAGAAAATCAAAAGAAGTTAGTGGGGGGTTTCTTTCTCTTACTTGGGGAATCATTAAGGGAGGGGGGTGTGAGAGAATTGAACCTACCCAGTGCGACCTGAGCGCCACTCTTGTTGTACTTCTTGCCAATGTCCACCAAGACGGGGTCCTCAATCAACTTGCCGATGGTACCCTCCTTGGAGTAGAGCTCGTTCTGGTTACCGAAGGGCGAGTAGTGGGTGATGTGGATGCCCTTGGACTTGTGCCATTCGGCGAAGTCGGGCTGCTGCAGCCAGGGGTGACTTTCGAGCTGGTGGGCGGCGGGCACGACGGAGGTTTCCTTGAGCAGGCGCTCCATCTCGGCCTTGGAGAAGTTGGAGACTCCGATCGCCTTGACCTTGCCGGTGGATAGAAGCTTCTCCATAGCTTTGTATGTCTACAAGTCCAAGGAATGGTGGGTCAGTATCTGAGATGTCCGTTCAAGTGCCTTGGCGAGGAGGGGGGCTGCATAGTCTTACGTCGACGTAGTCAATGTCTTCCACAACGGGCTTGTCGTTCTCCTTGGGGAACAGCTCATCGCCTCGCTTCCACGCAACGGGCCAATGGATCAAGAAGAGGTCAATGTAGTCGAGCTGCAGGTCGTTGAGCGAGTCTTGAAGCGCCTGGGGCACATCGTCGGGGTGATGCTTGTTGTTCCAGAGCTTAGTGGTGACGAAGAGCTCTTCGCGGGGGACGCCGCTCTTCTTGATGGCTTGGCCGACGGCCTTCTCGGTGCCGTATCTATTTCAAAGGTAATCAGCGTGGGTATCGCCGAAAATAGGTGAGGTATGGTCTTGAGGAACGTACACTCGGGCGGTATCGATGTGACGGTAGCCGGCCTTGATGGCTTCGAGAACGGCATTCTCCTGAGCGTCGGCATCCTGCCAGGTACCGAACCCGACAGCAGGGATCTCTGCCCCGGTGTTGAGCTTGAACGTGGTGGCCATTGTGTATGTATTAAGTCGTGAGTGAATGTGTAAGGTATCAATTGAGGTTCTCAGTGCAAATAAAGTGGTCTGTCCGGTCCGATTCTAGCAAGGCTAACAAACGGTTCTTATACCAGCGGAGATAGAGGCCGACGTCAATTTGACGCAGCATGCTAATCACACAAGGTGCTTGTCTCGCCTCGTGGTGTGGATATCCATGACGTCGGACAGGCCACTGGCCGCAGGTTCCACACCATTGGACCCAGCGACGGGTCCGCGTACTTACGGAAGACCAGGGACATTATTTAAGAAGTGTCTTAGACCCGGCCTGGATTGATGATGTCGCTCATTCAGCCTTTGCTGAGACCATCCCTTCATCTTGGCATTATCAGTCCCTCATAGAAGGGTTCGAAGGATAGACCCACATAGAATCATCCTCCAGGTGGATTGCGAGAAGAAACCTATGGAATAAAGAGTGGTGTTCCAGAGCTCATCATGAGAGGACAACGTGATTATGAATTCAGTCAATATTGAGCATCACGCTTGGTTTTCCGATTCCGATTCCAACTTTTAACGCAATGTAAAGGACAGCCCATGATCAAGCGAGGCCAAAAGCTGTTGAAGCTGGAGCTGTATGGAGCTTAGCGAAATCGGCTAGACTGCCGAAGCACTAGCTGTTTGTCCCGCAATCAAACAGCATAAGTGGCGACTCTCACTTCCCGTACCTCATGCTTTCTATAAATTTTTGACGCAACCCACAACAATTTTTTTTCTTCCATCATGATCATGCAACCACAACCAGCCCAAGAGTCGCTCAACACCGCGACCTTGTGAGAATATCGTGTTTAATGATGACTTGACATTCTCGACTCCCAATGCCACAATTGTAAAAGGTATGCGAAGACTTTTGCTTAGTTTTCAGTATCTCCCCCCTGTTGGATGATGACCCTATGACACGCTTTAAGGCATTCCTCAAACTTAATCACCATGTGGAATTCGTGTTTTAACTCAAGTTTCAGCCTTGTCTGACCAACTTCACTTCATTTTGCTGTCTTCTCAATTAGCTTGTCATTTGTGACTCCTCACTAACATGCTATTTGATAGGTAAATACCACTCATTCAGCTCCTCTGCCTATCCGGTGCCGATGAAGAAATCTTGAACGAACGGGCGGACATAACGTGTACATGGAACTGCGCCCATCAAAAGCGAGGCGTACAAACCTTGCGGGTGTCAGGAAAGTGTACAACTTGTTGAGATCTTCGTCACCTGAGCTTTCATCGAACATCTTCAGTTGTTGGAACTGTTTTTGGCTTCGAGTCGTACTAACAGGAACCGACAGGTAATTTCCATTCGCTTTCTGTCTCAAGTGCAAGCATTGCCCAAGTCAACTTTACATGATGAACACTTATTCACACTGTTTGATCTGTGTACTCTGTACATGGAAATGAACATTAAACACAAAATTCTGATTTAATGAGGTTGGTATTCGAAAATTTCGTGGGTTTGTGGGCCTTCGCTAACCTGTCAAATAGCCTGACTTCAGTTGACATCATTATCTTTTGAACTCACTCATGGGTTGTCATGAATGTGTCGCTGATTCTGTTGTCAAAGAATATAGGAACACCAATATACTTGTAGTTACTCTCGACTGAGAATTTGTGAGTATTGACCCTCAACAACACCTTGCCCTTGCATGATGATTCTTAAAATTCGCTGTGTTCTTACTGAACTACAATGTCGAAACAACAAAGATTCACCTTGGAGAACTGATCACTACGCCTTCCACTGGATTGTGTACGAGATAATTTGCTGTAATGGCTGCTAATATCTCATCATAGGTGATTTCTACTCGATCTCAGCACAGATATTCACAATAAATGAAAGAAGAATATGTTGTCAAACTTGAATGCTCCTGTAGTTGCGTATCGTCATCCACTTAGTACATTATAGTCATTCTTAATTTCTCCCCTATTCGAAGAAGAGACTATGCTTCTTATGCCACTCTTCCAAACTGTCACTCGGATATTCCTCGTGCACCTGCTTCTTCCCCTCCGGCCAACGCGCCCATGTCGGCTTGGACCCGGCCATAATACAAACCATCTCGTCAGGCACCGGCAACTCGGTGTCGATCGCCGACGCGAACGGATGAATCAACTCCGGCCATTGCTTGTCCCACAGCCACAGCATGGTACTACAGTTGGAGCAGAAGTTCCGCTCCGACGAACAAACCTCCTCCTGATCGGTACCGCGGGCCTTGATCGCGGAATATTTCCTTTGCGTGCAAAAACCCTCGGAGTCAGTCGGAGTTCCGATCTAGATGTAGAAGACAACAGTTTTGTGGGTACTTGACATACTTGATCAGATCCTTGCCCTTCTTGATTTCCAGCGAATTGGCAATCCCGCCGAGGTTGACGCTGCCGCTGTACCCGCCTACCTTGCGACAGATGCTGCAGGCGCAGAGCTGGTAGGGAACTGGGGTTGAGGATTGCAGGGAGAATTCGATGCCGCCACATTGGCAGCTGCCTTCTAGGGTCCTGGTTGTTTGGTTTTTTTAGTCTTTGAATCCAGGGTTTTTGGGGTTGTTCATAGATGCTGTAACATGCGCAGATATATTCATAGTCGCAGCTAGTGACTGAACAAGGTGGAAAGAAGAACTCACATCGGCATTTTCTTGTAACTTGATTACAATTCACCGGTTTGCGATATGGTATGATGAAAGCTGCAGATGAAGTCAATCCCTTCGAAGTAGGCTGTCCTCAGGTAATTATATCGTGTGGTTGGAGGACAACGTCATTGATATATCAGCGCCGAAGCTGTCCGTATCTATGCGGGTCAGGAAGGTACCATATGCCAACATACTCACAAAGAGACTACATATAGGAGCCCGAGCCCAGTGGATTGGTCATCTAAGCCACTATGCCTTGAAGCATCAGGCCCAGTCGAACCATTATCAAGCCTTGTGACGCCTATCTTTCTCAAAATCTACAGGTTACTCATACATGGCCCCGGCCGAGGGTTGACCCCGCCCGTATGTATCAGGCCAGAAGCTATACCATTGGAGCCAATGGCAACCTGTTCTGTCCTCTTGTAAGCATTAGTCTGCATTGACTAAGAACTCGGACAAGTTCTAGATCACTTTTACACACTGCATGTGGTGGTGCAAACTGAGTAAATCATCCTGAACACTGTTTGTCGTGTTTGTTTGCGGCGCCGATCCGGGCCTTTTTTCTCCTTCCCCGGCTTGCAGAGAGGCAGGACCATTGTGAATGCCCTCCGATAAACAGCCGATAAGACGTTGCTCAATCTAACAAGCTTTCTGCTGGCTCCAAATTCTCCCAACCGGATTATCATTCAGTCACCTCAGGAACCGTGCCACTAACTTCGTCATGGGCTTCGGAGCTCCCGGTGGTGCCGCGACCAACTACAAGCCTACGCCGTAAGTGTGGTCTGATGAATTTCTCTATCTCCGGTTTTCGCGACCGCGCGCGCGCGCGATCGCATTTTGCGATGAACGAGAATGGGGTCAGTGCTAATTTCTGAATTGGCTGTGTATAGGCCTGAGCGTGGTAGCTTTCCCCTAGATCACTATGGTAGGCACCCTCTCTCCCTCCCTCTCCACCGGTTCCAATCCGGCTGCGCCTGGGCCTCGCGCACATCCTCGGAACATACGTACACACACAGAAAGCGGGAGAAATGAGTCTGACACTACTGGGTTGCAGGCGACTGCAAACACCTGATATCCGATTACCTGAAATGCCTGAAATCGAACCGCGGCGTGAACGACGACGCATGCCGACAATTGGCGAAGGGATATCTTGCTTGTCGGATGGAAAAGTATGTTTCTCCTTATTCGTGTCATGCGAGAGATCCCCCGGGGAAAGTATATCTGCTAATGCGAGTTATATTTTGTGCTCGGTAGCAACCTCATGGCGCCGGACGATTTCAAGAACCTCGGGTTGACATTTGAGAAGGACAAGGCCGCTGCTGCTGCTGAGGGGGCTGCGGCGGGGACGGAGAATAAGTCATAGGGTTGGGGTTGTTGCCATGCGAGGGTTGTACGATATTTCTGGGAGGTTGGCAGTCTTTGTGCAAAGCATGAGGGCTGGGTTGGTTGATGATTTTCATGATATGGTTGGTAGATTAGTATATATTCTCTCACTCTTCGGATTTTTGGGCGTCCGGGAAAGGTGGTTGGTCATCTATATTTCGTTCTATGTATGTACAGAACGTGCAGGAATCTATGGTCTGTATGTACGTGCTGATTATCTACTTCGGGATCCCCAGGCATGCTCGTCCTTAGCATATTTGTTGTGGCCTGCGATTGTCTTGTGATGTCTTATCAGAAAAGAAATGCGGAAACCCCCAATTTTCATGCGATGCGGGGAAAGCTAAAGTTATCCGCAGCACCGCGGCGAACGGAACTCTTAGTCCTCAACGCCCATTATCTTCAACGTGCCTGCGAGCTCTCGATTTTTCCCAACTCCCATCCCTTGTATTTGCCATTGTGTCTCTTTAAGCTATTTCCTTTAAGATGCTCACCCTCACGCACCAATAAACAAAAATAATCGGCGAAGACCTACCTCACGAAGACCGAAAAAAGACGACCTCCGCCCAGAATGTCCTCTATCGCTCGCCCCCCGGACCCCTGCCTGGTCGCCATCATCCTCATCGTCCGCTCGCGCGCCGGCCCCCGCTTCGTCTTCCACTACCCGCCCAACCCGCTCAGCGAGAACGGCTTCCGCTCCGCATCCTCCTCCAAGGCGGCATCGTCGTCCTCGATCTCCTCGCGACGCGCCTCGCGCTCCAAAGCCACGTCCTCCTCCAAACGCGATCCCAACGAGTCTAGTTCCAGTGAGGAGAGCGGGACGTCCTCGGATGAGGACGAGGAGGAAATCATCCTCCCCCAACAGCAGCAGCAGCAGCAGCAGCTCAACCAGTCGTCGTCGTATGTGGTTGGTGGGGGCGGGAATAGTGGGGTGAATAGTCGTCGGCCGAGTAGTTTTGGGCTCGGTGGTGGTGGTGATGATGGAGTAGGAGGGACGGGGGGAGGAGGAGGACGAGCGGGAATCGCTGGGTCGCCGGGTGCGGAGTCGCAGAGGGCTGGGTCTATTGGGTCCGGGAGAGGGTTGTTGCGCGGTGGTGCGGGGAGTATCAAGCAACGCGGGGCGAATTCGGATGTCGAGGATGAGATATCGATTGGGGAGAAGGGGGAGGACGATGTGGGAAGTGTGGGCTTAGGGGTCGGTGGTGGTGTTGGTGGAGGGCAAGGAGGAGGTGGAGGTGGGAGTACTGGGACTCAGGGTGATGGCAGTAGTGGTGTTGGTGGTGGCAGTGGAGGAGCCAGTCGAGGTGGCAACGGGGCACGTCCGCCCTGGGAGACGTTGCTGGGACTCCCTGCTGATGTCTGGGAGAAGCTGTTGAGCCCGTCGCGGTCGTGGCATAAACGGCGCTTCGAGGTCGGTATCAACGACCTTGCCTTCGTGGGGTGGCCGGTGTTCGTTCGGGAGGACGGCATGTGGAGGAAAGAGAGGCGCAAGAAGAGGAAGCCCCGTGCGACTTGGGAGGGAGGGGAGCTTGGTCATAATGAAAAGCCCGAGGATGATGACGAGGACGATGCTCGAGGGGAGGCGGCCGCGGACCTCCTGGCGGCTTCAACGGAGACGTTGAGTCCCAAGCAGATGACCCCCGCGGAATCTCAGCGCGCATCAATCACCAGCATCCATTCGACCAGGGCGGCAAGTGAATCGCTGGATGGAGATGATAAGGATTCCATGACTATGTTCAATGTGGTTTTCGTGCTGGATCCGCCGCTATTGGAGTATTCCATGCGCCTCCGCGAAATCTACGATAACATCATTAAGAAGTTCTCCAAGGCGTTGAAGTGGGAGCAAGCGCGAACGGACTACGTGTGGAGGGAAGCTCGCCATATCTCGCACATCAAGGAGAAGGCGAAGGAAAAGGGTATGTGATTGTGTCCTCTGTCGACTGTTTTCGCTAATCGATCTTCTACAGGAATGTCCATCAACAATCTCTACGCAGACCTTGTTCACCAGTCATCCCTGGCCAGGGCCATCTACACCGTGTACACGAGCATTTCAGCATCAAAGATTGCATCCGTCACCCTGAGTGCGGACGTTTCCATCTCCTTGCAAATCCCCCCTTTGACATCGACGCCATTCCTCGCAGGACCGACTGATAAGGCGTATCCTGGCCTCTGGCTCACAACCGCAGACAGTGTCACGCCGGTTGATGACCCTACTGCTGACGAGAACGCTGCGCCGCATCAGGTATTAGCCAAGCACTTCGCTTTATTGCTACTGGACAACGAAGCAACCATCCTGAAGGATGTCGAGGCTTCTGGGGGTGCTTTGGCCCCTGCGCTTGCACATTATATACGTTGCTCGAAGCCTACCAAGTCATTCGCCCAAATCGCCGTGACTTCCGGCATACCACTGTCCACAATCCAGATGCTTGCGAGCCATTTGGTGTACTGGCGAAGAGCGCGGGCGATCCCCCCGCTTCATCAGAGAGACACCTATGTTGTCTCACCAAATTGCGATCTGAGCAAATTGGAAGTGGCGACAGCTGCCTACCAAGCGGCATTCCCAACTCTGCCTAGTCTTCCTAAGATGCTATCGGCCATGAGCGGAACCCCCAGACCGTACGGAAGCTTTATCCCCAGCAAAGACCACAAAGTCACGTACTTCGCCATATTGGCGTGGCTGCTGCGAGGGGGTTGGGTTACCCAGCTGCGCGCGTTTGCAAGGGTTAAAGTGTCTCCGGAGATCAAGCTGGCGGTCGAGGCAGCCATTCGCCGGGAAGAGGTCGACAAGTATTTGAGCAAGAGCGTCGTCAAGTCGGAGGCGGAGAACATTGATGATGATGATGCAAGCTCATCCTCGTCATCGTCCCTCGATAGTCAAGATAGCGGGGAAGAGACCCCGATGCCTGGCCGGCACAAACCAGGAAAGAAGCTAGACTTGTCCTATTCGTTGCTGGATCGGAAGACATCGCTGAGGACGTCTTCTCTACTTTTATTCCCCCATCGCGCCTCGCCGCTCGAATCCAGATGGTTGGATGAGATCATGTCGCGATTCCCTGAGCGCGATGGACCGAGTACTGGTCGAGACGGCGTCAACTCCGATGGCCCCGACGCGGACCTAGACCTCGTGGAGCTGCACCCATCTTTGAAGAAATACTGGCCTCGTTTCATCAAATATTTCAACGGATATGACGCGCTGGAGAAGATTCCGGTCCGCGAGAACTTGAAGCGCAAGTTGGTGTGGCAGCTTCTCACGCGTCTCGGACTGGTGACAGGGCAGCAGTCGTCCGTCGAGCTGGATCCCAGAGAGCAAGTCCTGGTCAGTGTGCGTCATTGGTGAGGACGAATAGGATAATTATATTGATGAATAATGAACCATACACTTGGGGAGTAATAATGGTGACTCAGGAAAGAAAGGATTAATTGACTAGCTTTAGCATAGTATCCGCTACCCAATGCATAACCTTTCAACGAATAGCAAGTTACTGTTGAACGCTTCTGTCAATCTTCACAGTTGATACAAACCCCAAGCAACAACACAATTGGGGAAACAAGGCACGTGAACACATTGATGATTGACGAGCCTCCACAAATTAGTAGGCAACCCATTCCCCCGGCCGAATAATACACCGAAAAAACAAACAGTAACAATTACCCTTTCCACTGCATTACTTTCGTCGGCACTGAAGTAACCAAGGCGTGCTGAAACAGCCAAAAGAATCAGGAGGGGGAAGGCCGGGATTCCCGAAGTGTTCCGAACTCGCACCGAAACGGTCAGAAAGAGCGGAAAGGAAAAGAAAAATTTTAAGGATGGTTGCAACTGGAACGTGGAGCAGCAGCAGCAGCAGCCAACCCTAATTTTTCGACTTATTTTTTTTTTTGAAGGGGGGAGTTCCGGTTTTGCGCTAAGCGATTATGATTCAAAATCCATTGGCTCTTGATTTGGTTTACTTGTATCTGTGATTCGTTGATGAAGGAAGAGAACTACGTACACCTTATGTACAGTACATTGGTGCAAGGTCAGTATTCGTTCGAATTCTTTCTTTCTTTATCCCTGCAGAAGAAAATGTAGTATTTCGTTCTATCTGGAAAAACCACAATTCTTGTTGTAGCAGCAGCGGGAAGCTGCAGGGGGTCGTTGTTGGCACTTTCCAAGTTACGGGGTTGCTGGTCCTTCTTTTCACTCCTGTGCCTACATATCATATCCATTGGATCGCTTGGATGGGGGCTGGAGCATCTGTATAGATGTGTTATCTGAATTGACACCGGTCATTGATGAAGAATGCGCCTGGGCTGGAGGGGGAGTCGTCGCCCGAGAAGACAAAAAGCATCGCCAGGGGCGTGAGGTAAGAAGCTTGGGCTAAATAGTTAAAGGGCAGTGGACCAGTATTTCAAAAATAAGGCTTCGAGCGTGGCACTTGGTTGTAGAGCCAATGTGAGAGTAAAGAATCTATAAGTTCGGAGTAAGGCTTCAGGAAGAACTAGTTGTTGCTTCGTACCCCAAGACGCAGGGGTGACGGCTTTGCCTTGCTGCAATAGCACTCGACTACTATGTGGTTGTCATGGAATGACTGCAGGTTGACTTGTTTGCTGGTCGGCCAATGATGCTATATTAAACATGTCGATGGCGCCAACATCATATTTTGCTTAAAATTACAGAAGGTTGAGACACTTGCTGTAGAAACCAGATCAGAAGGAAGATACGAATGGCGAGTATACAATTGAGGCATTGACTGGACATTGATTATTTGTGTCTGATTGGGTCTAACGGCATCTCCCAGTGAACCCCAACCCAACCCCTCCATTGTTTCCAGCTACCTAGTACAGATTCACTACACTCTCACAGTCTTGGACCTGGCAAGGGCAATCGGCATAACGGGTGAGGGAGGCTAGCGTCGGAGTAGTTACTAGCTAGGTGCATCTGGGGATTCATGTGCCAGGACAACACTTGTGCAACCTGCTGTCAAAAAGCAAAGCTAGACAAAACAAAATATAGCAGTGAGGGGCTGTTCTTCCTGGATGACCGCATCAATGGCGTCAAGTGTCAGCTTCTGCATTTGGGCGTATATATAGCCTGGCCTGGGGATACTCCATGTATGACACGAGATAATTCGTAGAATCCAGACATGATTCTCCACGCGATCGCATTGCAGCCACATAACCCGGTGTGATATTGTACATACAGTACATAGCATATGTTGGACGTCCGGGCTGAAGTGGAGAGGGGAAGAAGATGAGGGGCTACCGCGGTCAGAAAAGAGGACTGACTGATGGAAGTAGCGTCGCGACCAATAAGGTACAGGACTATTGATTGATCTTTCGGCTCGAGAATTTCCTCCAGAAAAGAAATGACACTACATCCATGGACCACCTCATGCGTGCTCGAGAGAGTACAAGAAGGGGCCATAGGACTACTACCATCGGTGTAGAGCAGGTTTCATGATCCTCGCTCATGCGACTGTGAGGTTATCCCTCTTGCGATTTCCGTATTGCTTCTGTGTATTGTATTCTCGGTATAGTCAGTATACCATCCGGCTATACGATCGACTTCAGAACTTCAGGTCTTCCGCGGTGGATTTGCCGGACAATTTCACGGGGCTGAGGAACGAGCAAGAGTGGTTCATACCCACGCAAAGCCCTGACATCCACTCAACTAACCGCAGTTCTTCAAGAAAAGTAGTGCGGGTATATGGAAGGAACAATGTTTTACCTGTTTTTTTTTCTCTTTCTTTTCTTTCCCCCCAACTCCGGATCTCTCCAAGTTTTAGGTAAATTATGTAAATTATGTAAACTAGGTAAATCGGATACAGGATTAATTACAAGATTAGAGAGACACTTCTTGTCCCTTCGTTCTTCCCAATTGATACTTATAATTTCCCTCTATAATATGTGAGATCAAGCAAATTGAAACCTCATCCATAATTCTTGGAGAGAAGACAAAAAAGTAAAGTGTAATTGAGCTGAAAATAAAAAGAAGGTAGGCCAGGCGAATTCTACCCAGACTGGCTGGCTGGCTGGCTGGCTGGCTGTGAATTAACTGCCTTCTCCGGCTTCCATGTCTCTCCGGCGGCTTGTAAAATTATTATTATGATTTTCTCTTTCCTCTGACACACACACATTATTGTCTGTCACTCACTACCTACGAACTAAACTCATTAACCACTGTTACTTTCTACGGACAGTCTATTCCTTCATCCTCTTTTCGTTTTTTCCTTTTCCTTTCCCTTTTACCCCCCCTCCTCCTCCCCTCTTCTTTCCCCTCCTCCCCTCCTCTAACCTACTACTACTACCCTTACCTCCATCCATAACTGTTTGGGAACTTTCGCTTTTCCTTCATTTTCTCTCCACCGGCTCCCCGTGCCTGTGTTGCTGTAGTGAAGTGGTGCGCCTTTTTCTCCAATACACTTTTTCCGTCTTCCGATCCACACATTTCTGTGTTTCGCGGAACTACGGCTTTTCTTATTTTTTTTTTCTTCCGGCATTGAACAAGGTAACTTGATCGATTGATCACTTTGATCTTACCCATCTTGTACCTTCTCCGCACAGGTTCTGCTTCAAACTCTTTTGTCGCAGCACCTTTTTCTCTTTTTGTTCTTTTTTCTGATTCCCTTCTGCTTTTCCGCACCAGGCGAATTTCCAAAACCTCGAAGTCAAGGAGCAGTCGTCACCACGTGCAAGTCGCGCTTCTCGTCCACTTTCTACACAAGGGGCAAGATCAACGGGTTCCTTGCGAGCTTACCAGCGTGCATCGTTCTTAACTGTGCCCGCCCTGTCCTACTCTTGACTAGCCAAGTACCAGCAGCGCAGTTGGATCTTCCGACGGCCCGGACTTCCTCAGTACATTTCGTGAGTCTGGCAAGAGTTCAACAGCGAAGAACTCAACCCTAAACGAAAACCACCCAGGTACTCGTCGATATAATACGGTTATTCGAGCAACGATTTCCAGTCCTCAACGAACCTCTACGTCGATCCCTAGATCCCCCCCCTCGCTCACCGTTCGAACGGCCCTTGACGCGAACGAACCTCGGTATTCCTACCTGCATGCGATCCGTGTTCTAGATCCTCATCTCCATCAGAGCATTTGCAGACCGACCACATTTGTTACCAGCGTTCTATCAGTACGAAAGGTTCGTCCTCAGACAACAAACACAGCTACCTGCTGCCGAGTAGGAGTGATATCCAGCGACGGGAAGTTGCATAACGGCGGGGTTGCCTAAAGGGCGGAAGTTGTATCTTCTGCTTGCCATCGTCGGCGGAGTTATCTCACCGAACAACTGTGGTTGATTTTTCCACGTTCTCTGGCAGAACACACCATTCCAACTCTATCTTCGCTTTTTCTTCTTACCTAGAACGGTACTCTAGATACGTCTTTCACACACCGAAAAAATGGCTGCTACATTTTCCTACGCACAAGCCGCCAAGGGCGTCGTTGCAACAAACTCTCCCGCCGAGCCAGTCGCCTCGTCCACCGAGCAGAACGCCGAGGTTAGCGCCGAACAGTCGACGGATGCTGTGTCTGCCAATGTTGAGGCAGGCCCCGAATCTGAGAACGTGAATGGAACCAACGACAAGGAAGCCGAATCGGTCAGCGTTGGCAACTCTTCAACCACTTCTAGCACGCTCAAGGACGAGGATGAAGTGAATACGCCCAATGGCACCTCAGAGTCTACTTGGGACAAACAGTCTCAAGCATCAGGCGTGGAGAAGGCCACCGGTGAAGAGGAGGGTGCCGATGACAAGACAGATGAGAAGAAGAGCGTACCAGCTAAGGAGTTGAAGGCTGCCCCTCTCCCTGCAGTCAACATCTGGCACCAGCGCAAAGAAGCCCAGGATGCTAAAGCCAAGGCTCAGGCTGCTCTGAAGCCTGCCACCAAGACTGGAACTTCCAAGACCACGTCCGCCGCCTCCTCGACCTCAGGCGATCATCAACAGGAGCCCGCGAAACCTCCTAAGAAGAAGGGAACCGACGGTCAGGAAAGTGCCAAGGAGCGCAAGAAGGCCGACGGTGGTAAGGGACGGGATGAGAGTGCAAGCATTCCTCCCGTGGGAGATGCTAACCTCTGGCCGACACCCGATGTTGCTCAAGGTGAGGAGAAGAAGAAGCCTCAGGAGAAATCCGATAAGAGCCCTGTTATTCGCCCTCACGGCAAGGAGAAGTGGATGCCTGTCCCATACGTCCCAACTGCCGTGTTCAACACCCCCCTTCCTTCTGCTGCCCGCCGCGGTGGAAGATCTGCCCGTGGCGGACGTGAGGGTGCTCGCAATGGCACCCATGGCGCCGACAAGAATGCTTCCGGTCAGGCCGGTCAGGGCTCTGCCAAGCAAACGACATCTGCAGACAGAGGCAGGAACGAACCCAACTCTGCTCGCGCCAACTCTCTGCCTGCGCAATCCAGACGCTCTAAC